TTAATCCAGAATCTGGAGAAAATGCCACTGTAGGAGGGGAAAACACACAAGATGTAGCTGCATCCCTCTCGATTTCTGAAGGCTGGTTGATTTCAAAAATACACTTCTTGTAAAAGTCGTGTTTTTTCTGGAAATACGCATTCTTGTCAGTTTTGTCCTCAAATCCTTTGAGGCTGAGACTCTTTGCAAAATGCAAGAGGTGGTTGTTGGGTGAATTATTGGGATAACTGAAAAATCAAAGCAGTTAATTAAAATCTCAGCGAGACGCTCCTTGGGGCAGGAAGGAGGCTGGAGACCTGTAGCCCTGTTATGCAAGCAGCCAGTGTTGTGTCAAGCAAAACCAAGGTTTCTTTTTGCTTAAACAAATTGTGTTCTGTCAAGGAAAGAAAAACCTGCCATGGGAAGGATTTCTCTCTTCTGATGTTGCTCTGCCTTGGCTGCCAAAGGGGAAAAGGTATCTCCACTGCAGACTGGCTACCACTGTGCTGCTGTAAAACTGGAATATAAAGCAATATGGCCATGGTCTGTTTGCCTTGCTGCTAGGCCAACCCTGCCTCCTGCTCTTCAACTGCTGTTACAAACTATAGCAATAAAAATAAATGTTTATGTGCCTTCATGACTGTGAAGGCACCTGCCTTGGGCTCTCATAGAAGTGGCCTGCATGGCACAGTGGCCAGAAATCATGGTACTTGAGATGACCGAGGGGAGTGTGGCTGGAAGGAGAGTGCCTGGTGTGATAGGATACTGCCAGGAGAGGAGAGGGACCCATAGGTGGGAGGGAAGGATCCTGGCCAGCATGGGACTAGGAGGGTGGCAAAAGGTTCTTTTGTGAGCTAGTGTTCCCCTTTAAAAACAGAAACTTCTGCTCTCCCCCAGGGTCCTGCTGTCAGGAGCTTTTGCTTGGAAGACTCTGTTCCCCAGTGAGATAAATATTTATTGCAATTCCACAGTGTGTTTTGGAGCAGACTCTGGAGCCAGGATCTTGCAGTCGGCTGTTTATGTGCGGGCTGTTCTTGGCACTAATTCTAAATGTCCCGAGGCTGAGCATGAGGAGCAGGTCCCGCGCCGTGGTTACTGAAGGGCTTGCTTGGCTGGCTGGGCGCAGGCTCGGCGAAGGCAGGGAAGGAGTGACCGAAACAATAGCTGGGTTCCTCAGGGCAGGTGCAGAGCTGTGGTCAGGGAGGGCTGGAAAACTGCTGCCAGCTGCTCAGCCCCTGTTTGGAGAGGGGAGGAAGCCTGGCTGGGAGTCCAGAGCTCTCTGGGAGAGGAAAATTTTCCCAGGAGTGAGAGCTTTCACAAAGTACAGCTGCGTTATGCCCAACAGCACATGCTGGGTCTGCTGCTTTCTGGGCCCCATCCGAGGCAAGCTCTGCATGAGTCGGGAGTGTCCCTATGAAAAATCAAACCCCAAAACGCCCCAGCACTGCAAACCCAGCCTCTGCTGCTGTAGCTAGCTGAGAAAAGCCCTGCTGCTGAAGCGTGTGCTGGTGTACATGCTCACAGGGGCATAGCCTGGTAGCAGGGTGGTTCTGGTGTGGCTGTGCTCTTGGCTCCTTTTGTGCTGCTTGCTTCCTCTGTAGTGAATTTTTGCTGGTGGCTTTGCCAGCAGAGAAAAACTTTAAGTAGTGTAACTGTTCTAGCAGAGATCAACCTCCTGGGCTAAGCCTGAGTCTTTGGGCTACAGGTTCTGATTAGATTAAAATGGATTGTGGGAGGGAAAGCATTTGTAGGGCGCAGCATTGGGAATCTTGACTGTACAAACAAGCTGAGATTAGCTGTGTGGCAAGCCAGCTAGGAGAGGTACCCTTTGAAGCTGGGTGTCTGACTGGCCTTATTTTGCTAACACTCTGGCATGAGGGAGCATAAAGATCCCGAAAATGCACATCACGTGTTCTGCTGAGTGGAAATTCCGCTTGTGTGTGTGTCCAGGGGAGTGTTGGGGGTGCAGCTGTATTCTAAGAAAGGGCAGTGAGGGGGAAGTACAATATGTGAAATATCCCAAGCCTGAAGAATCAGCATGAGAAATCACCCTTGATGGAAAAGCTGCTTTGCCAGACTGTTTATATCTTTTTCTTCCACAGACTGGGATGAAGGAGGAGCCTCTTGGTACAGATTAGGACAACTTGGTGTGAGCTGGAAAAAATGAATTCCTTATTTAACCTTGAATAGATTTCTCTAACATCTGAACTGAGCCCTGGGCAGTGAAGTGTATGTGGTACCTATGATCAGGGTTGTAAATATAAAAAAAAAATTCTCTTTATGAACTAGGCACATATCACTGCCTGTGACCAGGAGAACTTTTCAGGGGCACGAAACGTTTCTGCTGCCGTTGTTCTCCTCCTGAGTCACATGAGAGCTCCTGCAGTTTTTGTCTGAACCTTATCTTTGCTTCAGGGGCAGCGATTGGCACCCAGCCATCTGCAGCTGCCTGCTGACCTGTATCTCCACTCGCTGGAGGGGGAAGCGACCACCTCCTTCCTGCTCTGCTCCGTAGATCTTTGGAGCTGGGCATGGAGTATTTAGAGCCACTCTTTTGCCACCGTTGCAGTAAACAGATCCCAGCATGTGCCTGTCTGGCAAAGGACTCAAATCTTTATGGCTTTGCTCTCGGTTGATAATCAGGCAAGAGCAGTTAAACAAGAATTCATTGCTCCGTAATCTCTCCATGCTCCTCCCACTCGCTCGGACAGCGTGGCCTGCAGAGAGCAGGCTGCGTGTGAGCAAACGCGTGCCGCTGAGAAGGTAACTGAGGTTTGACTTTGTAAGCACAGGGAAGCCTATTTTGAGCAAGCAGAGCCCAGGAGGATTCATCCCTGCTGCAGGGGAGGCTCTCCAGAGCCTGGGATTACAGTGTAATTGTCACAGGGATTATGCCTCTGCTGCCACATGAGCCCTGGAGAGCTGCTCATGGCTTAAAGCATCACACGGGGAGCAGGGCTGGTGGGCAGTGATGCTGGCTGAGGCTGTGTCAGCAGCTGAGTGGTGTGGCCACAGGGAGATGGTTACCTGGTTGGACAGGGACTGGGTGTGCTTCTCCTGGGTCACCTTGAATGGGTGATGCTTTTACCAGCTGAATAGTTTGGCAGCCTGCGTGGTGTTCTTGCAAGAGTCTTATTAAGCAAGACGCTGCTCCTTGCCTGTATTACTGAGCACAATTCAAGAACTCGATGCATTTTTTTTTTCCCTCTTTGGTAAGAGGCACAAAGAGATAGCATGTCGTGACTCGTCAGTGTACTGGAGGTGCAGTGGTACCTCTGCTGCTGGCCAGGAGCTACCTACAAGCCCTGGTTGGTGCTTCTGTCTTCAGTTTCCCTCTTAGTCCTCTGAGCTGTTGTGGATTTAGCTTTACAGCTTGCTGTGATGGGAGTACACCTGTAGAGTGGCTGTTGGAGAGGAGGTGGACGAGGCTGGTGTTGCCCAAGGCTGCTATGCCTGTGGTCCTGCTCTAGGACTTCTTGGAAGGTGTTGAGCAAAGGCACAGTGGTGTTTAACCATGTCTGTAGGCCTCAGGGTGAGCCTGTCATGCAACTAAATGCACACATGTGCCTGGGTGGCAGCTCTTTCGCTTCTGTCCCTTGGCACAGAGGCCAGTGTGGGCCATGTGTGCCACAAATTGTGGCACAGACCAACCAGGAGCAGGAGGTAAAATGGTACCTTCCAAATGTGGGCACAAGGAGTTCACATAAGAGGCCAGCGTGGGCCATGTGTGCCACAGACCAACCAGGAGCAGGAGGTAAAATGGTACCTTCCAAATGTGGGCACAAGGAGTTCACATAAGTGGATTTTTTTTTTTTACTGCTGCTGTTGTGTTGCAGGAGTTGTGTGTGACCTAGACTGAAATACTGATACTTGCTTTTTCTCTCAGGACAAAAGTGACTTGTGTGTGTGTGTATATTTTTTTTTTTTTTCCTCATACACAGAGCTGGATCATGGATGGAGGGAAAGGAGTAGTGGTTGGTTTAGGGGGCAATATAGACCCTTCCCTTACTAGCCTGGCAGGAGCTGCCCCTGCTGGAAGCTCACGTCACTTCTAATAACTTTCTTCTAATGCTTATTGAGATGGGAAGATTGAGGTGTCTTTGCTGGTTACCTTGCTGCATGCTTTCATCCCCTGGAGGCCAGCTCTGTTTGCTGACTCCCATTGATCTGAGCCCTGTGTCCAGCTCAGCTCCTAACCCCTGCTCTTCTGCACACTTTGCACTAACTTTAAAAGCTTCTTGGTTGGTGTGCTCCTGTGAGAGCTCGGTGGAAGTGAACCATATGGAAATCCCCTCTTGTGGGCTTAGTGGTTTACTGAGCTTTGCATCCTTGCACTGGAAAGGCCCCTCTGGGCTTGATGTTCTTTGGTTCCTGATGCAGAGACAGCATGAGGGCCAGGGTGGTGGCTTTGGGAGAGTGATCTCTTAATAACCAGGCTCTGAGGCTGGGTGGTGTGAGCAGCTGCTCATGTCATCCAGGAGCCCTTTCTTGTGGTGGTGTGAGGTGAATCTGTCTGTAGCAGCACAGGTCTGGGAAAGATACTTTCAGTAATGCTGCTTGCTGAAGTGAAAGGAGGCAATCTGTGCAGCTGTCTCCTAGTACAGAGCACCTGAGGAAAGCCCCAGGAGCAGCTCTGCTGTCTGTCCCTGCAAAGGGTTAACAGGGCTGCACCTCTGCCCCTTCTGCCACCTCCCAGGCTGGCACAGCTCCATGTGCTTTTGTCTAGCAAAGGTTGACTTTCACCTTGCTGGTGTTGACTCCTACCCTTGTGCACACAGTGAGGAGGCAGGCGCAGGAGCGAGCGCTGGCTCTCCACACCGAACTTATAAACTTGATAAGGAGCTTCAGCTGCCCTGGTCTCTGCAGGGCTCACTCCTGTGGCAGCTCGCTGGCTCTCACCCTGCTAAGGAGCCTTTAATAAGCTCCAGTGTGTTTGATCAGAGATGAGGGCCAGCCATAAAAGCCAGTTCCATGTCTGGGAAACTTTGCCTCTGCCCGAAAACATCAGTTGGGTTTTTTTGAAAGGGCTTGCTGAGGCTGTGGTGAGGATGTGTGGGCTGGGGCAGGCGAGCTGCCTGCGTTGATTTCCCAGAACTAGCCAGGGGAAGGGGAAATTCGCACACAGGGCAGAAATTTTGCTTGCTGCCTCAATAAATGGAGCTTCTTGCTTTGAGAAGAGGCTAGTGATGTGGGGGGCTGTAAGTGAATGTCTTGGAACCACAGAATGGAGCGTGGTGGGCTAGGGATGGAGCACAGCAGGGCTGCAGGTCCCAGCCTGGAGGACCAGGGCTGTAGTTGCTGAGCCTGAACCCAGCATCCAGGCTCTGGCTTCATCCAGCAGCACAGCCTGTCTCTGGCTCAGACATGGGACCTCTGTGCCTGGCTCTTCCAGGAATGATGGTCACAGTTCACGTGCCTGATGTGCTGGTCAGCTGGCAGGGAATAAAGTCTTTTTTTTTTTTTTGCCACTGGCAGGCAGGAAAAGCTGCTGCTCCCTGGTAAGGAGGATTGGTTTATCCTCCTTGTTGCTTACTGGAGATAAAGCTGTTTAACATGAGGAAGAAATCCTGGAACCAGATTCCTGCAGAAAAGTTTGATTTCTGTACAGACCCCTCCTAGAGAGGAGCATATTAATAGTAGTACTCAACTTTAGCTGCTGGGGTGAGGTGGGGCTCTGCAGCCACCCAGCCTGACTCTCAGCAAGTCCCTGTCCTGGCTCCAGTGCTGGGATAACAGGTGGTGGAAAGCAGACCCCAAGCAGCACCCGTTCCCTTCTCCAGCTGCCAGATGCAGAAGGTGTGAAGCTGAATGTGGCCAGAGACAACTTGGCAAGGGCTGCCCATCATCAGCTGTCTCCCAGCTCTTTCCTCTTGGCCTGCCAGCTGAGAGGAAGCACAGGCACCTCCTGTGGTACCTCTTTACCTCACAGTGGAGCTGTAGGGAGGACTGAGTCCTCTTGGAAAGGCATGCTCACTCTTAATGATACTCCAGGGAGCTTTCTATGTGGCACTTGGGAAGCCCCCAGCCCTTGTTTCCAAGCCAGTGGAAGTGCCTGTGTGCCCTCTTGCAGGTGTGTTTGTGAGGAATGTGCCTGCTCTAGATCTGCCCAGCACTCTGTTAACTCTTCTGCAGCTACCAGCAGGAGCCTGCTCCCTAGCAGAGCATGTCTTGAAACCCAGAGGGTAAGTGTGGAGGTACCCAGCCCTCTGACTTTCCAGGCAGATGAACCTGTAAAATGAGGCTTGCTGCCCACAAGAAAAGTTTCCTGTATAGTTGGAGCAGCTCTTGTGGCTTCCAGGAACTTCCCTGTCCTTGCTCAAGAGGATGATGAAGAGTGAGTTGAGGGAACGCTCCCATATAATCTTATTTACGCTTGTGAGTCAGTAATTTCCTTGTTATGTCCTCTGGCTTGTAAACACTGTCTGTCCTGATTTGAATAGGGCTTTCTGATAGCCAGACCTGGTGCGTTCCACAGTAGGTACTAATCGCCATGGCTGGCTGCCACGGCTTTGCTCGAGGCTGGGCTCATCTGATAAGGCCAGCCTGCTCTCCAGCCACTCGCTGGCCTGAGTGTGGGGTTTCTGGAGCCACCCTCACTGGGACATGAGCTGGCTGTGATTCATCCCAAGCACGGCGTGAGCTGGCCCAGGGGTGTGGCTCAGCCAACTCTTGCCAGCAGCAGCCGGGTGACACGGATCTGCAGCAAACGTGCTCCGCAGCCCTGGTGCCCCAGCTCCAGCAGGTGGGATTTGGGCTCTTCCTGCCCTTTGAAGAAACGGGCAGAAGCTGTCCTGGGAGCAGCTACTGCACCCTGGCAGCAGTTTCCAGTGCAGGTCTGGCTCTGGCTGGGTTTCACATATCTCAAAATGAATTTGCCTTGGAGCTAGTGATCCATAATGTTAGGAATGCCTGATTCCAGGCAGGGAGGGGATTTCTTCCCAGCTGGCCTTCCTCCCCAGTCCCCTTCCCATCACCCAGTGCCAGGCTGGGGCAGAATGCAGCCCAGGGGCCTAGGAGCAGAGCTGGCCTCAGCACTTCATGCCCTTCAGGCTGTTCATTTGGTTATCCTCCAGCAGAGTTGCCGGGGAAACCAAAGATGCCTCAAAAATCTCATGAAAAGCACATCTAGTAGCCACTGCTCCTTATGCAAAATGAGAAACATCTTGTCCCGACCACAAGGGCTTGTTTGTGGCAATACCAGTATGCTAGTGGGGCGGGGAAGTCTGGGCTGGAAGCAGGACTGGGGCTGTGGGCAGAGGAAGCTGACACATGGCTTGTGGCCGATTGTTGGGCCTCGCCTGGGGATCGATGGTGGATGTCATTCGTCAGACGGTGCCACCACTGGGCTGTAGGGTGGGCCAGGCCTGGCTGGGCGAGCAGGAAGGCTGAGCCCAGCCACCCAGGGCCTCGCTCCTGCCCCGTGGAGCAGCAAGTGCTGGGGCTTGGGTGGTGCCACCCAAACTGAACTGTCCCCACAAATCTCTGATCCTAAGCCTCTGTGAGGCTGTAGCTTCTGGTATACCTGTATGCTAAAAAGAGCCCTCAGATGTGCAGGTTTCTGGAGTAAAGATGTTTTAAAAATGTTCTCCTGGGCAGAAAAATCTTCAGAAAGACTTCCCAGCATGAAAAAATGTTGACAGCTTAGCCCTGAGCTATGGGACCCAGCCACCTGTGTTGTGCTTCTCCCCTGGAGGGGAAGAAGGGGTTGAGTCCCCACCATGGCCATGACTTCATGGCTGTGGAAGCATCTGGAGCTGCTGGAATCTGTGGGGTGGTGTTGAGCAACCCACAAGCTCATACTTGCAGTGCCCTCCCTGGGGGTGGCCCCAGGGCTGTGGGGCCCGAGAAATAGTTCTGGGGAGGTTGCGTAACCTTGGTGCGGGCAGGAGGTTTGGGCTTGTGGCTCCTTGAAGGTCCCAGTGCAGATGAGCTCTGGTGTGGGAATTGCCATTGTGGCCAAACAGCTGATTCTCTGGAGGGTTCTCCTCATGTGCTTGCTAACATACAGGGCCACAGGATCACAGGCTTAATTTTACAGACCTGTTTGTTTACCTCCTGTCCTTCTCAGAGGTGAGGCAGGGGAAGATCTTCCTTCAGGCAAGTCGTTTTGGACTCGCACTATATTGTGCTGCAACGTAGGTGAACTGACAGACCAGTTTTTAACCCTTGGGTGATAAAATAGGTTGGTTCTCAATACAAGAAGCAACAAATCGCCTTGGTGTGAGGATTGGGGGGTATGCAAAAAAAAGACTTACAGGTGCTGTGCTTTTTCTCTGGGAATAACAAGTCCTTCCAAATCTCCCCCTTATCAGCAAGTGAAGGTATTGCTTTTCCAAATGCTTTTGCTACAAACTCCTGGCCAAGATCCTGTTGTGTTTTTACCCTGTGGGTTCAAGTGAATGTCCTGAATCTGTAGCCCTGAGGAAATCCCCCCTCCCAGGCTGGCTCTCGCTTCTGTTCTGAGAAATTCTAGGGGAATTCAGCTCTTTACAGGCTGATGAAGATAATGCTTTTGGTGGAGAGGAAGTTCAGCATTTAACATTCTTCTGATGGAAGTGATGTGCTCAGCACAGGCTCTGAACTCCTGACCTTCTGCAAAATGCTTCTGAGGAGTTGCCTGGCACTTAATACTTCTCCACCCCTGTTCACAGGTGAGAGAAACTGAGACCATGGACCCTCGATGGGTTGAGTACCCTGCCTCTGGAGACTTGCCAGATGATGAAGACATTGGGGAGTTCAGGCCTCGCTTAACTTCTGATGAGTTAGATATAGATGAGACATCTGGGTCTGGAGGTAAGTGGGGAAGGGGGGCAATGGATCTCCCTCAGCTGATGCTGTGAGCTTTCTCCCAGCGCCAGCCCATGAGTGATGGATTAAGTGCCCAGCCAGAGCTCCAGAGGGAACTAGGGTGTCAGGTGGAGATGAGAAGGCTGTGTGAATGGTAGTCACTCAGAGCTGGGAACAGTGAAAGTTGTACCGTGATGTTGAATCGCTCTGGGAAGACAGATGGAGTCCAGCCAAGCTTGTCTTGCTGAGAGTGAATAGGTATTGCACTGTCTGGATCTCTTTCCTGTTGAACTCCAAAGAACTTCTGAGAAACTTCAATAAAAATAATAATAATAATTTAAAAAAAAAAACTATTGTTGAGGCAGTGTTAAAAAGGCTTAAAATTAGCATCTCAGCTGAGGCTGAACAAGGTAAAGAACTAACTAGTATTTGATTGAACTCTGTGACATGCAAAACTCCCTGCCCAAACCAGTTTCTGTAGCTCCATGTCCCCTTTATGTGAACATTTGTTCAATAAAAGAGAAAGAACAAGTGCTGAAATTGGTGTCTGACATGTTTGGGCAGATCTGGTAACCAGAGGGTTGGCAAACTACCCTTTAGGGATGGGTGGTGAGACCGTTGCCCTCTGTTGGCATTAGCTTACCAAGCTGTAGCAGACCTGCTTTCCAGGGCAGCTCCTGATAGTCTGCAGCAGCGACCAGTGGATCCAGCTGAAGATCCCTCCCATTCCAGAGGTGCTGGTTTTAAGATTACATCTCCTGGTCTTGTGCAATCAAAGCCATTGAATGGTGAAAGTACCAGTAGGTGGAATTGTAGTGAGCAGAGAAGAGTCCTGGTTTGTCTGCAGTTGTTGGTACTGTGGGAAGTGTCTGAATTCTGGAAATATAATGTTAGGAAAGTTGTTTTTACTTTTTTTTCCACTGTCCTGCAGACTACTCGGACTCTGAAGATGTTGTATATCTGACCACCATGGATACACCTCTGGTAGGTATTGCCTCCATGTGTTTTAAGTGACTTGTAGCTACTGTGGTCTGTCTGTGAAGCTTTCTGAATACCCTTCCCCCTGCAAGACGTGGCATCAAGATGAATCTACCTGCAGGAGCAGGAGCTGTGTACTTGTAACACACTAAGTAAACTTTCTTTTCCCTGCACACCCTCTTACTTTCAATTGTCAGTAGGCTGGGTGCTGCTTACTGATGGGTGTGGTTTGTCTGTATTCTGTAGATATCTGACAACTATATCCCTGGAGATACTGATAGGAAGATAGAAGGTGAGAAGAAAAACACAATGGTGGACAACGAAATCATTCCAGACAGAGCTGTACCTGTCGAAGAGAACCTGTCCAACAAGATCTCCATGGCAAGCACAGCAAACAGCAGCATCTTTGAGAGAACAGAAGTCCTTACAGGTAATACACCACCTTGGCCTGCTAAATCACTAATACTGTCAATTAACAGCTTGGTTTTGAGCCTACCAGCTGACTGTTGGCTTAAGTGCCACACAAGTCATGTGGCAGCTGCTCTGCACCCAGATACTACCCCAACAAGAGGCATATCTAGCCATAAATCAATGACATCATGGACTTGTTTTCTTTAACCTCTGCCCAAGTCTTGCCTTTTATGAGCTTTGTCAGGAACCAACCAACCCCTCTAAGGGATTTAAACACCTAATCATCTGTTAGGAATCTAAGTACCTCTCTCTAGAGCAAAACCAAGCAACTGGCTTCCCCTCAGCATGCAGGACAGAGGTGTCTCAAGGCACGCTTCATCAGGCAATGGCCTGATGGTCCAGGTACAAACCTTGGCACACCTTGTTGATCTGCAGCCCTCCTCTCAGTCAGAGTGGGTTGCAAAGCCACCAAACAAAAAAGCTGATTCAGTAGGTGTCACAGCAAAGGACAAGCTTCACTGAGGTCTTGTGGCCACCTGTGGTCTGAGAAGAGAGAAAATCTTGGTGGTTGGTTGTGGGTTTGTGGTTATCGGGGTGTTTTTTGGAGGGAGGTGGTGGTGGTAGTGGCATGTTGCTGTTTGAAATAGACTCCTCAGAGCATGCTCACACAGGTCATTAAAGCATTCGGGTCACAGCTATACCCTTTCCCTGGAGTTGGTGCTGTTAGTGGGTTGTGGTGAGGCTTTTTGGGGCAGGTTTTCCTGTCCTGGCTCCACACCGGGACGGTGTCTTTTTGTCAAAATGTCTTTCTCGTGCTGAACTGGAAGATTAACACAAACTGGTTTATATGGAATGTGATGATTCTACAGTTGGGGTGAAAGCAATTCTGGCCTTTTCCAATAACATCTGCTGTTGCTGAGAACACCGGGGCATGTGGTGATGGGCACAGGGACAGCACTGACCCTAGGGTCAGTTCTGGGGGTTGGGACTCCTGAAGCAGACTTTGAGATGTAGGTGATGGAGTCCTTCAGGCACTGAGACTTACTCTGTGTTCTTTTTCCTCCCCAGCTCTCATTGCAGGAGGGGCAGTGGGTCTCCTCTTTGCTGTCTTCTTGATCCTCCTCTTAGTCTATCGTATGAAGAAAAAGGATGAAGGCAGTTATGACCTTGGGAAGAAGCCCATCTACAAGAAAGCCCCCACAAATGAGTTCTATGCTTAAAGCTCAGCAGCACCTTGTGCCCACCGAGGAACAAATGGACTGTATGGAAACACTGTGTCCTCAGATGAGATGTGCTGAACAAATGCTCTTTCTGGGTTGAATTTCAAAGTGACTTCGAGAAAAAACAAACTTCCTACGTGACCCTTCCCATCCCTCTTGGCTAACAAGGGCCCAAAGAGTCTGAAAAAAAACCCCTCAGTGTATTTTTTTTTCCCCTAAAGCTAGTGTAAAAAGAATAAAGATGCCAAATTTTCTGCTTGGTTTTATAGAGGGTATATAAACACAAACCAGACTGTATGGAAGCAAACACCATGTGTTTGCATCCAGCTTGCTGAGCTCAGATTGGCTGCTTCTAGAGAAGATGGCTTTTTTTTATAAACCTTTCTAATAGATGTCTTGCAGCAGGCTGTTGTGTGAAGCATTTTTGTGGAGAACTATTTATGAATCTTTTACACTACAGATAATGTTGCCTTATCAGGGAGTGAAAGGCCCATAGGGGCTCAAAATCCCTCAATGCCATAAAGGGCCTATGGGAATGTCTTCCCCAGGAGACTACAGTCTTTTCCTGTTGGCCCCAGGCAAGGGTCATGGTCCATGAAATCAGGACAGCCAGTTTTGTTTGGCAGTGACAACACCCTTTCCTTGCCTTCAGTCTTACCTTTTTTAAGGATTGCTTGTAAGAGTTTTTTTATAACAATTTTAAAGAAAATAGCCTAATGTTTATATAAAGTTTGTAGAAATTGTTTTGAAATAATAATAAAAAAAGAAATCTACTTTTTTAATTTCCTCAGATTTATTTTTTTCAATCCCTTTGTGTTTCCTTTGGCTGTGTATTTCTCTGGAGATGTTGTTGTGTATGATTCATATTCTGAACTGAAGCAGAGTTAGCTACAGTGTGTTACAAGTTTTTTCTAATTCTATAGCAGCTACTGTAGAGGGTAAAGATATTTATGGTTTTCCCATAACTTTTTTTAGGATTTGATTTTTTTTTTAATAGAATTATTTATAGTTTCTGACATGGTCGCTTTTCTCATCTGGTAACTTTTCTCCTTTATGTAAAACACTAGTATAATGAGTCTCTGTGAAAACTATTTAAGCTTTATTCTGTGAATTTTAATTATGAATTCCAGGCAATAACTTCTATGATTAAGCTGTATGCAAAATTGGATTCATAATATGATTGAAGTAGGGAAAAGACAAGAGTATTTCTAGCTTGTAATATATGATAATAGTCCTATAGAGCTATATATTATATATTTTCCTGAGAAATAGACAGTTCAGAGTAAAAAGGCTGGAGTTACTGCTTCAGCAACCTTACTGTGTGAGAGGCTTGGTCTCATTTGTTTCTGCCGTTTGTCCAGGGTCGTGTCTGAAGCACGAGCAGGCTTGTGCTGGGGAGGGCAGCTGGGAGCAGCCCGAGCCCTGGGGCTTGTTGCCATGTCCCCAGCCATGCCTGGCAGCTGGCTGTGGGCAGAGATGTGCTGGGCTGGGCAGAGATCCCTGTCTGGGGTTGCTCTCTGAGGCAAGTGTTGGAAACTTGCAGTGCAGAGAAAATAACTGCAGCACAGCCAGCCCCCAAAAGAGTCCCCTGTGATCCCTCTTGCTGAAGGCTGGCTTTGGTAGCCTGAAGTCTGCCTTGGTGGCATCTTCCAACAGGGAGCACTGAGCTTTTAGTGAACTCTGAACCTTCTGTGGTGGGTCTTCCTTAATGTGTCATATACATAGCTCCTACCTCTGCTGAGAGTTAGACCAGTTCCCCCAGCGCTCGTAGAGCAAAGGGCAATGTGTGGCTGATGCCTTTGTTTCAGGAAGGGTTACAGTGATTTGTGCAAGTCGTGTCTTCCTGCATATCTTTGAACCTTTGGTTTAAGACCAAATGGGCGTGCGGGTCCCCAGACAGAGTAAATGGGCAGGCAGCACAAAACCAGATGTTGCAAAAGCTGTTCAGAAATCATTGCCTCCTGAAGCCTCCTTACTGAGGCTTTGTTGTAGGCTTGAGGTCAAATTCACAGAAGTGATAGAACAATAGTTCAGCTTCAGCTGGTGGCAGTTGCTGCTTGGGGCTGGGCAGGCGAAGTGGGGAAGGTGGGGGAGAGGTGTGTTGGGACGCTGGGTGTGAGAGGACTCTTCTCAAGGGTACTCCTCCAGGTTGACTCACTCACTTGGTCCCAGTACAAGCATGTTTGGGAAACTGCAAGCTCTGGGAGGCTCTGAAAACTGAACAGAGTTCAGTGCAGACTGGGGAGGAGAGGGAGGGCTTCACTGCCTATGGACAGCACTGCCAGGAAGGCAGGAGTGGTGTCTGCTGCTTGGGATATTTAGATCCTCTTGTGTAATTGCTCTTGGGGATTTTCCACTGTTACTGCTTTATTTTGTGTGTTGTTTGTTTTTTTCTTCCAAATAAACTGGTACTTTCTAAAACTGGCTTTTGGACTCTTTCTGATCTGCAATTACTTGTGGGAGCTGGATAACTGGGAGCTTGTGTTTGTGTAACTTCTTGGTTTACTGAAGGGGGAGGCACGCTGGGATCTGGCTTGGCGGTGGCCTGCAGCTCAAAGGGGCTTTGTCAGCTGCTCCTTTGAGCTGCCTTTGGCATCTGACCTACGAGTGACTCTTGTAGGAACAGTGTCACTGGGTTTCTGGAGCTGTTGAAGCTCCTCCAGGCAAGTGAAGCAGCTGCAGCATGGTGCAAAGAGGTGAGTCTATCCCTTCTCTGGTGATCAGTTTTGTGATGCCACTGTAAGGGTTGTCCCCTTGCAGCCAAAAGGGACAGAGGGAGGTAGAGATGGGCTTGTGCATGTCCCCTGATGGCAGCAGCGTGTTCATGTGCCCTCAAACATGGGAGAGCAATGTGCTTGGGGTCTTGCCCACCCAAGTTACAAGCCAACCTGGTGTAACTGGTAAGGACCTTCAAGTTGGGGTAGGGATGTTTCAGATGCTCTGGGAGCAAGTCTATGGATCACTTTGGGGCATTTTGGACTAAACCAGCTCTTAAGCAAGACCTGGAGGAAGCTGCTGCTTCTCTAAGCCCCTGTGCTCTGGCGGCTCAGTGCTCCTGAGGGATGGGACCCATCTGTCTCCCCAGGTACATGGGAGAGGGTGGGCTATGCAGAGATCAGGGCTGCTTGCTGGGAAAAGTGAGTCTCCTAAGCAGTGCTGGATTTAAATGGATTATTATTCTTCTTGGTAGGAATTTAATTTCTTCTTCGTAGGAATTCCTACTCTGGGTGGTTAGGATTAGCAGGGATGGAGGAAAAAAATTAGGACAAGTACACAGGCTCCCTTGAGGGTGAGGGAGGAGCAAATGCTTGTTCTGCTCCCTGTTGCATTGTCTGTCACTGGTGTACTATTGAAGGTTTGAGAATCTGCTTCTAGGACTGAGTAGAGCAGAGCCATGTGCTCCCTGGGCTGACCTTTGCTCTGTGGGAGCTGCTGTTTGTCAGTAAAATGGTGACACCCACAATCTTCATGTTCTTGTGCCTTGTGTGGCTGTGACAAGTTCTTGGACGTGCTTCTTGGAACAATGTATGTTTTTTCTTTCTCTCCTGAGCTTCATCTCGGTTGCAAGAATCCTGTGTACTTTCCAAAACCGCCCTCAGCATAAAAGCGCCGTGTTTTCGCAAAGCAATCTGGACGGGCACTCTGCAAATCCCCAGAGCATGAGCCTGGCTGCCTGCCCGTCCTTGCAGGGCCGTGGTTCCTGGGATGGATTTGTCGCCGTTCCCTCCCTCTGCCTTTCTGCCCTGCCTGGCCAGCCTGCCGGCACCCCGTGTTAGCTGAGGGAAGAGTCGTGCTAACGCCTCACAAATTCCTGGTCTTCAGCTTTGGCCCCAGAGGTGACACTCGGTTGTTTTCCATCCTAGCACAGCTCTGGTTTTACAGCCAAACCCCTGAGGACCTGGTTTGCCTGGCTTGAAAACAGCTGGAACTCCCCCAGGTGCTGGTGTGATCGAGGGGCCACGGGCAGCTCTGCCTGTCCCAAACGCGCCCTGGGCGGGGGGGCTGGGTCAGCCAGCGGAGGAGCTGAACGTGGAGCATCGCCTTGTTCATCCCCTTTGCTTTTTGCTTCGGAGGGGGGGTTGGGGGCTTGGGGGTGGTGTTTGAGGTGGAGGTCATGGGTGGCTGGATCCCTTGTTTTTCAGTGCTGGGGTGGGTGCTGTGCTGTGTCTGGGTGCCAGGGAAGACCTAACATGCCAAGCTGTGCCAGGGAGGTGCCAAAATGGGTCACATGATGTGCAATACTGTTGGTGATAGTGGCACCTGTCCCCACCACCTCTGATCCTCCGAAGGGGCACAGGGCACCCCCATCTTTGGGCAGAACAGCCAGGCTGCCTGCAGAGACTGGAGTCTGAGAGGGGACAATTCCTGCACCCCAGAGACGCAGTTTGCCCACAAACATCACCCAGCTCTCTGGGT